CACCAACACTCCCTCCCATAGTTAATAATACATTGCAGAAAATATCTTGTAAAAATCATAATTTAAGCAATTCTATAATGTACGTTCATACCATCAAGGTTTGGGCTCTACCTCCATTACTGAAAACTCCAAGTAGGCAATGATTGGAAAAAATTAAAAACTGATAAATGTTTGACAATTATTAGTTTTGACGAAATAAAAACAAAATTTAAAAAAAAGTGTATTCATTTTAAAATGTATTAGTTTTAGGAAACATATTTATTAACTCTTTAACCATCGTCGAAAACCTGTGGTGGTCTAGCTTCTCTTGCCTCGTGGGTTTCTGACGATGCTCTTTTAGATATTTTAATAATATGTGGTATCATATCCACGCTATGAAACTGGTAAAATTCACTATACTTCTGTGCAGGAGAAGTCTGATAAAACACCCAAATCCATATTCTGTCCGGAGGGGTGTGTGGTGCCCCCCTCTACCCCTCCTACCCACCACCACCATTACGCTGCCCTGACCTACTTGGGGCCTTAGGTTGCCCCATACCTCCTGCCCGCCCCTTATGGTTTTGCCTCGCTAGAATTTTAAGTCAAGCTACGCCCCTGAGTTCTATCATCTAACAAAAACGGAGGGCTTTTTCGACGCTTTAAAATCGTGAAGCATAAAGAACGATAATTTTACATGATGAAAAACTTCAAGTGTTCATAAAACCAAAAGTTCTTTGACATCGCTACTAGAATTGAAACCGAAGAAAAAAAATTGATCGACTTATTCAAAGAAATTGATTTTCTCGCTCTTTGGGGGATCATTTATATCCCTTTAAATCACAAAGTCATTATTCTATATTTTTTCATTCAAAACGGGCCCACTTTTGAGTACACATTGCTCGTCATTTTTCTGTATAACATTCAAAGATATTCATCCCCCCCCCTTTCGAAGAATGGTGGGCATATTGCTTTGCTGCTGTCTGTCGGTCTGTCAGTCCACCAACAGTTTCCGTCCATTTTCAAAAAATCTATATGTGCATTAGAAATTCACATAATAATACATATTAAAGTTACACATTCACATACCCTGAATTGTTTGACGAACGGCAAGTCGGCATATCCGTAAGTTAAATTGAAAGTTTGATGCGAAGAATGTGCAGTCAATGGAATGTCGTTGTGGAAGGCATCAAAGTCTGTCTGATACGAAACTAACAGACTCGCATTCCCAGTTAATAAATATCTGTACTTTAGACATCGAGACTGGGTCGGGTCGGCAGATATTCCAGGAGAATAGAACATACTGGTAGTATAGCCTACACGATGTGTCCTGTCCAAGTTGTCCGAGAAAAACCATCATTTTACCATACACATTCAGGTCTTGAAAATAAAAAAAAGGTACATGGTCTACGTTTATTTCTGTTTATTCACATGAAATACATTGTAACATGATCCATATACTGACCCTATCCTAGATTTCCTTACCTAATTCAACTTCAATCCACATGTCACTGGTGATAAAAAAAAATTCAAGTTTCAACCAAGACTCGAACCTAGGGCCTCTGGCGTACCGTGACAGCGCTGTAACCACTGAGCTAGTTAGAACCTATATATTGACTGCCGTATACAGACCTATTAAACCGGTGACATACCCTCTCTATGTAGAAATGCGTCCCCAAATTTTATGAATTAAGAAAATGCTTTAAAACATGTTCCTAACGGATAGTGGGTTTTGTTTGTTGGGTGCTAATTTCATAGGTGGTTAATAATCAAGTCTCATCCGGAACTCATTTAGGCATTATAACCACTGAGCTATTGAGGCCCTATATAAGGCGTAATAAAAAAATGTTTGTTTACGGTTACATGCTGTAATAAAAGAGGGTCGGTAGGTAGGATTTTTTTTTATTTAATTAAATTTTTTTACACAAATTCACATGAATTGGTTGAAATACAAAACAATTTTACCATTGTGTGGTGCTTTACTTTTGTTTTTGGGCTTGCCATATGGGCGATAGACACAAACACTTTGATGTAGATATTAAACATGCCATTTTGATTCTAGTATTTTCGATTTCGTTTTCAAACGCTTGACCTGTTAAGATGCATGTAGAAGTTAAAGTGACCGGCGAGTGACTTCCGGATTTTTACAACGAAAAAATTTTTGGGTCGACGATAAAATATAGGGTCGGTCGGGTAACCGTAAATAAACATATTTTTTTTATTACGCATAATTAAAATTATCGCTAACGTTAAACAGTAACGGCTGCGCCCTCAATTTAGCTATACAAGTGCGGTATGTATCATTTCAAGAGGCATAATATATGAAGGAGGCGAAAACTGATCAATCTATGGACAATATACCATGTAATTAATAATATTCACTTGGGTTGAGGGCAATTTGACATGAGGTCAGCTTCCACGGTATGAAATAATGCCCGACACAAAGCGGAGGGCAATATTTTCATCCCGAGGGGCCAACATACAGTAATCAATGTTGCTCGACAACCCATCAATAATTGTTTTGTTATACGAAAACTGAGTCAGATAAATAAAATAATATTTTGTTTTTATTTATTAACTTTCAACAATTCATTTAAAACACATTCATTTAAATACATAATTTGACCTATGCATTATCTTTTGATTGAAGTGCTAGCAAATTCTGCCATGATTGTTTTAGTTTTTCTTTGTTAGGTCACGTTTTTGGAAGTCATAACGGTAAGGCCATCTTTAAAAAATTGTTTGGTGCCCTCCCCCGACCGACTTGCTAAAAACGGCTCGACTCATAGCTTTTTTTACTCGTAACCTCTAGGAAACAATTTTTTTATGTATTCTGGCAAAAAGATTTTGAAAATTCAGCATCGGAATTGAAATTTTCTGGGGAAGATTTTTTAATTTTATTTATATGTACCTACCGACCCAATATTTTCATCCTGTTTCGGGAAAGGACAAGCAAACATTATATTTTAAAGTTGGCCTAATAATATTTCACAATAAGCCAATATATCAATCGGAATCAAAATCAATAAAAGGGCGGTAAAACTGTCTTTGTAGTTCAATAGTATACAGTTATAGAATGGTTTGAGGAAAACAGCAAATTAATTGTCCCCCATGGAAAATGGTTTCCTGCAAAGGGGAACCAAAATGTGCTAAATCCCGAAAAACCATTTTATAACTGTTTTATTATATCAAAACAATTTTTTTAAAAAGTATTTGTATAACCACTTTTAAATACTATTTTGAAACCAAACAAATACAAAAATGAATGAGTGATTTTTTTTTAAATTTCAATGAATTTATAAAAAATGATATTTTAAAATAATGTTAATATGACAGATGTTTAAAAATATCACATTTTAATATCACAGATAAATTGAAAAATTAAATAAATAGATATCACAGACAATGTCTTCAATAGATTAATTCAACAGTCAACATAAATATGTTGATCACAACTTACCACTATAATAAATTTAATCAAAGTTAATCAAAGCAAAGCAAATTAAGCAAATCTTAATTAATGTAGTTAGTATCTACCGAACATTTTTAGGTTTTAATCTTATTAATTTATTAATTTTTGCATATTAAACGTTATTTGACAGTTTGGAAAGTGAAAGTTCTTTCGGACATAAGCCAAAGGTAAAGAAACGAATCCTGTGTTGATGTTTTGAAACTCGTAATCTCCAATTTCACAAAAAAAATTGTTGAGGGCAACATTTTCCAAGAAATCTTTCTTGAAAATTTTCAGGACATGTTTTGGACTGAACATCACATCTTGCATATCACATTTTCACTTATAATGTCGGATATTTGTCACTTTTTGTCGCATAAGTGAGAAGTGTATGATTTAACTGAGGTTTCACTTTTGTCCAATGACACCAATAATGTTGCGTGCGTCCACATCCTTGTGTGTTCTGTGAGTGTACATGTACCAGGTGTTTTCATCATCGGAATACTTTATTTTGGGCCTCTGCCAAAATTTATGATTAGGTGAATTCAGCTTGGACAAATACTTTTTGAATGAAATGACAGGACGCCTTGGATCGCCTATAAATTTTAATTTCGAGAATGTACTAGGGTTACTCTTTTTTGAGAATCGATTATAACAAAGTAAGCAAAGAAAGATCACTCTAAATACTTTACTGGTTTGTCATAAATTCGGACTTGTTTATGGTCTTTGATGTGTATATCATTCCCTCTATTATTTTTGATCTGTTTATAGCTAAAACTTACTCACCAATCGAAGGATCAACAGAAATGTTAGTCTGATTTACGAACTTCTCGCAGATTTTCCGTTACCTCTGGTGTAAAAATAGTGTAACGTTTCCGGGTTCGTTTATGGGATTCGGCTGTTCTATCTGAACAATATAATTAAGTTAATTTAAAGATCTCAATCACAGATTTGAATTAGCAATATTTGCAAATATCCCTGTCTTTTCTCGGGAGCGCACGCGCCTTCCAAGGCTTGAAGCGGATTCGCTTCTGACCTTCAGCCAAACCGTGTTATACAGTATATATAACTCTATATACACTAAGTCCCGAAAGCCTATTGCAGGCACGTAAGACTTTATTCAGGTATTAAACACAGTACCTACCACGTTTGGCTTCTGTTCTGGACGGTCTTCACACATCAGCCGCCAACAACCAACTGACTAGTCAACCCGACTGCCTCTATATATATATATATACCTTTCAGGTCACGTGACCTGCTGAGGACCGAAGGTAACAATACAAAGAAACAGGAAGTTAACACAATGCAGCTACCGAGAACCGTAGGGATAATTCGATCTTGATTAAATCTTCGCTACATTACCCACGCCTCCAGGAAATGCGTCTCGCATTCCTCTTAAATCACAAAAAACGAAACTAAAATTCAAGACAACTGTTTTTACATACATTCAGGATTAAGTAAAATCCTAATATAAGAAACTTAAACTGTAAAGCATGTCAATGCAAACTTGAAACAAACCACAATTATTTGTGAGAATATCTACAAATGTTTCCGCAAATTATAGTTCTTAATATCACACTTCATTCTCATGGATTTCTACCACCGACTGTCCGTCTACTTGATAAGACTTCTGGACGCAATGAAGACGTCTCTTCTTGCCACTTTCTGTCTGAGTGCCAGCTTCTAGTCCATCTAGAGGTAAAGTCTGGGTACAGGCATCTGCTGGTGTTGCCGAGGTCTGTGTTGCAAAGTCTCTGTATGAGCTGGATAGGGTTGCAGAGGCCCTGGTCGATGAATGTTCACCATTTCGCTCACGTGGAGTTGTCTCCGGGGTATGAAAGTGACTAGGAGCAGTGGGGATCATAGCCTCTGCACCAACGATGGCTTTCGCTTTTGGTGTGTACTCTGGAAGTGGTCTAGTGGGTTTTCTCTTGGTCACCTCTGGAGTAATAGGGATCGCGTGAGAAGTGTCCAGTTCACCTACCATATCAGAAAGACTCCCCGGATCCAGTGCTTCCCACTCACGATCAGAGTCACTTTGAACTTCAACGAATCCAGAACTTCCGCTGTGTCGTGTTCTTTCATGCCTCTGCATATCGCTCTTTTTGTTTTTGGCATAATCGCATCTACTACACTCGAACCTTTTCTCGCGACGTTTTCTACCACACTCTATGACATGTTTCTCCCATGAATCTTCATCTAGGATCCGCTCAGCACACATTGGACAGCGATGACCCTCTTTTCGGACAGTAGTCTTGGTGTTTATCATTTTTATAAATGAATAAAAATCACTTAAAATCAGGCAATTAATATTTACATTATGTACAACAAGTCGCATGCTCTAAATTTTGTAATCTACAACAAAATCATCATGCCAAGCAGGTAAGCTTCTCGTGCGCGTTGGCCTGCTATTGAAGCTAGCGCTCGCATTTGCATATTCTTCATTGTCTGCAATTTGCCCATTACCACTATCAAGGGCTAAGTAGTTTTCTGTTTCATTCTGGATCTCTTGCTCATCCTCAGAAAACTCTTTCTCCTCACGTCTCAATATTTGCACTTTCGCATGCGATCGCAATGAATTACACTACTCTTGCCTCTATATCCACATGCTACTGTGTGAAGAAAATTAGACAATTTCTTCTCAACCGGGTAAGGACCTCTCCAAAGTGATGTCAATTTTGGAGAGCAGCCACTTTTTCTGATCGGAAAATACACAAAGACTTTTTCTCCGGGCTCAAACGAAGACCATGCTACCTTTGTATCATGGTATCTTTTCTGGCGAAGCATTTCTCTTTCAGTATGCTCTCTAACGATTTTGTGCGCAGTTTCCAACCTTTCACGCAGAATCCAGACCCATCGATTAGATGGTATATCTTTGATATCCGGTGGTATCTCGTACATCAGGTCTAATGGAGTGGTTGCTTCCCGCCCTAGCATCAACATGTTTGGAGAAAAATTTGCTGTCTCATGCACTGTGGATCTGTAAGCCATCAATATGTAAGGGAGGTAAAGATCCCAATCACGATGGTTCTCTTGAACATAGGTACTAAGCATTGAGAGCAATGTTAAATCGCTCTACCATCCCATCTGATTTAGGATGGTAGGGAGTGGTACGGGTTTTCTTAATTCCAAGTAACCGACACATTTCCCAAAACAGTTTGCTCTCGTATTGGCGACCTTGATCAGAATGTATGATTGAAGGTACGCCAAATCTAGCAATTACTTGTTCCATTATTGTGCGTGCTACAGTCTCGGCTTCCATATCTGGTAGAGCGAAGGCCTCTGTCCACTTCGTGAAGTTATCGGACACTACCAGTATATGGCGATTCCCTCTGTCTGTTTCTGGCAACTCGCACAATATATCTGTCGCAATTCTCTCCATGGGAGTACCGGACCCAACAACTTGCATAGGAGCTCTTTGCTTAGGATTTGGATTCTTTCGCTTAGTACACTTTTCACAACCAGATATATACTGATGAACGTCTTTTTGAAGACCTGGCCAGTAATATTTTTGCCTTATTTTGACCAATGTCTTGGTCACTCCTAAGTGTCCTGCTGTGTGATTATCATGGCACATTTTAAGTACTTTCCTGTGCTCTTCATCTGGTATGATAGCCTGGTAAATTTCTTTCCCTGAGGGGAGCAGTACCCACTTTCTCACTAATAGTCCTTCTTTAAGGCATAAACGGTCAAACTGATTCCACAGGGATTTTACCACAAATCCCTGCTGAGTCACATTTGAAAGAGAAGGTCTCTCACCCTTTTCTAACCAAGAACGCACCAACTGAATGTCTTTGTTCTCAGACTGTGCCTCTTTCAAAGTAAGGTTATTTTCTTCGATTGGGCATTGTTTCGTGCTCACAGTACGCACTTCGTGCTCTTTTACCGCTTCTACATAAAATCCACAATGAGAACAAGGTATTCTGCTGAGAGCGCCCGCATTTTCATGTTTTCGACCTGGCCTGTGTTCAATCTTGAAATCGTAAGTACTTATCACTTTTAGCCACCTCGCCATCTGTCCTTCTGGGTTCTTAAATCGTAAAAGCCACTTCAGTGAACCGTGGTCTGTTCTGACAAGAAAATGAGAACCATAAAGGTAGTGACGGAAATATTTCATAAAATGAACAACAGCCAATAACTCTCTTCTTGTGACGCAGTATCGCCTTTCTGCTTTCGTCAGAGTTCTGCTTGCATAGGCTATCACGCGCTCTTTGTCATCTATTATCTGCGATAGCACAGCGCCTATTGACGTTCCACTTGCATCAGTGTCAAGGATGAACTGCTTGCTTAAATCAGGTAATGCTAATATTGGCGCACTGATTAATCTACTGCGCAATATCTCAAATGCTTCTTGCGTTTCTTTTGTCCATTGGAACTTCCTATCCTGTTCAGTTGGTCTATGCAGGAGTTTAGCTATCGAGGCAAAGTCTCGAATAAAACGCCTGTAGTAGCTGCAAAGCCCCAAGAAAGATCGAACCTCTGAGATATTACTTGGAACTGGCCATTCCGCAACTACTCTTTATCTTTTCAGGATCAGTAGATATACCCTCCTTTGATATGAAATGCCCAAGGTATGACACCTTCTCAGCAAAAAGGTTGCACTTTTTAGCCTTTAGCTTCAGACCTGCCTGTTGCAATCGCCGGAACACTTCTCTGAGGTTTTCTAACATGTCCTCGAACGACTTTCCAACGACAATTATATCGTCAAGATATACCAAGCACTTGTCCCATTGAAGTCCTGCAACTACTGTCTCCATGAAACGCTCAAAGGTTGCAGGTGCACAACACAGACCAAAGGGCATAACCTTGAACTGATATAACCCTTTGCGCGTAACAAAAGCAGTTTTCTCCTTGTCGGCTTCTTCCACGCCAACTTGCCAATACCCACTGCTGAGATCAAGTGTGGAGAACATTGCATGTCCTGAAAGATGATCGAATGCTTCCTCTATTTTTGGGAGCGGATACGCATCTTTCACCGTAACTTCGTTTAATCGACGATAGTCTACGCAAAAGCGCATGGTTCCGTCCTTCTTACGAACCAAGAAAACTTGTGACGCCCATGGACTCATAGACGATTCAATGACGCCCTTTTCTAGCATTTCGTCGACCTGTTTATCCACCTCTTTAGATAAATGGAGAGGAATACGTCTAGGTGCTTGCTTAATAGGACGTGTTGTATGCTCTGTAGTTATCTTGTGTTTCACTCCATTGGTACGCCCTAAATCATAATTTGAGTTTGCAAACAAATTTTGGTGCTCATATAGAAACCTTTCTACTTTAGATAACTGCGCAGAGGACAGATTTACTTTGCATCTGTCTAGCAATTCTTTCAAATCACCTCGTAGTACTAAAGGATTCTTATTCACTTCCTTAACAGGAGGCTTTTGCGCTTCAACTGCAGTCATTTTTGCAATAATAGTGCCATTACGAATTTGTTGAACATCGTCGGTGACGTTCAGGAGGCATACAGGTACAGTATTATTTCCCTTAACTAAAGTGCGACCTACTAGAGCACGTCCGCTCTCTAGAAATTTTTTCTCTGCCTCGACTAAGTAGTCTGCACCACCGAATTTGTTTCCCCCTTGGACTTTCGCTTGAATAACTACTTCACTTCTTGGTGGAATGCATACATCAGAACTTGCTGTAACTCTGTAGCAGCCTAGCGTGCCTTCCCATGAAAACTGACATTCTTCATTATTCAATTTCAAAGAACTTGTTTGAAGGTCTATTGCACCGTTGCAAGCTCTTAAGAAATCAAGTCCAAGTATTCCATCGATAGTGATATCTGCTACTATCACTTCAACATTCTTCTTTGATTTCCCTATTTGTATTACGAATTGACCTTTCCCAAACTGACAAAGTCTTGATCCACCAGCATTCGTTATTATTTGCCCATTATGTACTAATCTGGGTCTGTCTGTCAGCTGATCATACATTTTCTTAGACAGTAAAGTTAAGGATGCGCCAGTATCAATCAAAAATTTACTTTTCACTTCATTCACTTTAACATCTATGAAAATGCCTGCCTCTTCACATAAATCGCTTGCCCCGACATTTCCACTAATACATTTAGGTCTCTTCTGCCTTTGCCTACTTCCAATTCGACGCGCATTGCCCTTTGCGGAATGATCACTGCGCTCAACAGCAGTATTGCTTCTCTTTTTCAATTTAGGACAATTTCTACGAATATGTCCTTCCTCTGAGCAATAGTAGCACTTCACAATTCCACCATTCCGTCTATTGGCAAATCTACGTCTCATAGGAACATTTTGACTTATTCTACTGGTTTTGTTCTCTTCTATGCGCTCTTCTAATGACTCCAATTTTGTCTGAAGGGTCTGCATCAATTTATATAAATCTTTTGGATGCGATCCGTCTTCATTTGTAGATTTCATGACATTCGCAGCGTGACTGTGACCTCTCTTTTCAGTTTTGTAATATGCATCCAACTCGACTGCTAAACGAATAGCTTCATTTAAATTTTGAGGTCTACTTTGTTTTATGCGCAATCGCATTTCAGAATCTGCTAATGCATCGATGAAAGCCTCTTTTCCAAGTGTTTCTCGCACTTCCATTGACACTGAGGGATAGGCCAAATAAGTGAGTCTTCTGATAGTCTGTCCTAACTCTGACAAGGTCTCTGATGCTCTCTGACGTCTCTCTTTTAATTGGGCGCGGTAAAGCTCTGTTTGGTTTGGCGGTGCAAATCTCTCCTCAAGCGCTTTAACCAACAATTCATACTGCTGACCAGTCTCTGAGGAAACATTCCCAAACACTCCCTGAGCAGCACCTCGTAATGAGACGGCTAAATAGAGTCCTTTTTCTCTGTTGGACCAATTGTTAATTGCTGCGCAAGCATCAAAATGAGACTTGTAATCAATCCACGAATGACTTCCGTCAAATGTCGCTGGCTTTATGTTACACTTTGCCGCTTTTTCCTCCCTGTTATTTTCTTGTTGTATCGAGGAACGGCTGTTTCTAGAGGGAACACTTTCTTTATTTTGCGCCTGACCCTCATTAGGTGATTCTTCATTTCCAATTTGCATAGGAGGTCTAATTTGATTTTGCGATTGTATTTGAGATTGCAAACTCAGTGGAAATTGAAAAGGAGAATGCGCAAGAGTCTCATTCAACACATGAGCTGGGTGCGGATGCGCATTTGACAAAATGTGCGGCGTTTTTCTATGAGGCAGTGGCACAATACCTTCGTACTGTTGCGCACTCGCAGCATAATCTGAAGTCAAAGGGGATGTATTTGTCCCAAAAACA